AAAGGCTTTGTTCACGCGGGGCATGCTACAGGTTTTCCGTGCATCCCCATGCAGGCAGTCCCATTGCTGTCAATTGGGACGCAGTGACTGCATCAAGACAGCCACTGCTCCCAACTTGACATCCATGTGGGTGTATGTCCATGAACTCACACTGTCTGTATTTGGGGCCATGGACCTACACCTGCATGGATGTCAGATCTGTCCTTGCAGCTGCTGCTTCCCAGCTGATGTGAATAGGACTGCCTGTACAGGGATGCACAGAACACCTGTACATCCCTATGCCGGTAAACATGACCCTCCATGGACATACACTTTAGTACACCCCATTGAATGAGGCCTTAGTAGGAATTTAGCAGGAATTTTGTAAGTTATGTTGTGGTTTTGTGTGTAAATAAGTATTTTAGTGTGTTTTTGTGAAAAAAGCAATTTGATAAACATTTGAGCAACTATTGTGGTGCCTAAAAATAATCAGTAGCACCATTTTTTTTTTTTACTAGTCATGTGCTTTCAGAAAATATATGGTTTGGGGGTGTTTTACAAATTATGAAAGCTGTAAGTGAAAAATGAAAACCTCCAGATTTTTAGAGAGATTTTTACGCATGATTGATTTTCACCATTTCGCAAAAAGGCGCAATTTAAAATTAACAAATATTTGTTAATTATTAACTCAATACAGGTTAAGCAATTATATGTAGTAGGAATTTAGCAGGAATTTTGTAAAATTTGCTGTGTTTGTATCTGCTAATAATGATTTTAGTGTATTGTTAGCGAAAATATCGTTTTGATAAACATACAGTATGTGCAAATATTGTGGAGCCTTTAAAATCTGTAGTACCTTTTTTTATTCTACTGGTCATTTGCTTTCAGAAAATATATGGTTTGGGGGGTCTTGTACAAAAATTCTGAAAACTGAAAGTGAAAAATTAAAACCTTCAGATTTTTAGAGAGATTTGGTTATTTACATTTCTGCGTATGTTCGATTTTCACCAGTTTGCAAAAAGACGCAATTTAAAATATTTGTTATTTATTAACTCGATACAGGTTAAACTTTTAGGGCAGCACAGTGGCTAAATGGTTAGCACTTCCGCCTGGCAGTACTAGGGGCGGTGGTTCGAAGCCCAACCCCGACACCACCTGCCTGGAGTTTGCATGTTCTCCCTGTGACTGTGTGGGTTTCCTCCGGGTACTCTGGTTTCCTTCCAAAGACATGCTGGTAGGTTAATTGGCTCCTTTCTAAATTGGCCCTAGTATGTATATGTATGAATGTGAGTTAGGGACTTTAGATTGTACGCTCCTTGAGGGTTAGGGACTGATGTGAATGTACAATATATATATGTAAATCGACAGCGCTATATAAGTACCATAAATAAATATTTACAGTAGCAGGAATTTTGTAACATTTGCAGTGTTTTTTTATCTGCTAATAATCATTTTAGTGTATTTTTAGACAAAATATTGCTTTGATAAACATTTGCTACTTATTCTTCTGGTCATGTGCTTTCAGAAAATATATGGTTTGGGGTTTCTTTTACAAATTCTGAAAGCTGTAAGGTAAAAATGAAAAAGCAATGGAAAAATTGCAAAAACGGTCTGGCCAGCTGGGTTTAAAAGTAGAGCACAGGGCCTGGCAGCGAAAAGGTTAAAGTAATGGTCCACCTGGCCTTTGTTCTAACATTATTAATGATTCTAAATTGAATATAATTGGAATTTGAGCTATAGACTTTTTTTTTTGGTAAAGCTAAGCTATTGATATGTAGTATAAAGGTTGAAGTCACTTGAGCACCACATTCCCAATATAGATATACAAATAACTCATTATGAATAATGAGATTTTATAGGTGCCAACTAAATAGAAGACATGGTACATGCTTACAAGATACTTTAGTACAATATGTATCAATCATTAAAATATCATAAAAATAAACATTTGTAATGATTAATATGTATTGTAATAAAGTATATTTTAAGCATTTACTATGTGTTCTATGTAGTTGGCACCTATAAAATCCCAATATTTATAATTAATTATTTCTATGTAGCACTAACCCCTTAGGAGTTCCTGAGGTTTTAGGTACCCCTACAGTCCCTCTCCCATCTGGGCCCCCTCCCAGGCTCCTGCTCTCCAGCTTCACATCCTCCTCTTCCACCCGAACTCTTCTCCAACTCTCCTCCTGCTGAGAAGGCTGTTACCCTTAAAGGCTTTCCTGGCCCTTTGCCAAGCCTCTTGTTGTGGATTGGCCAGGATCCTCTAAGAGTATAGACCAGCCACTCCTAACCTCCGCCCACTGCTTCTAGATCTTTCTCCAAAGTCCTAGAGCAGGGGGAAATTCCAAAGAGCTGGTATGTAGAGCCTCTCAGCTCTGACCTAAATTTAACCCACCTAGCTATCACACCCAGGCTGCTACTCAGCCTTTAAGTAAGAATTGAAGCTAGAGCTCCCCCTAGAGCTTGAAGCTAGAGCTTAGTAAAGCTAAGTTAAAATCTTTTAGAAGAGTCTGACTGATAATTGTTGAAGCATCTGCTATATTCCGCCAAATGCGTGGATTTTATTTTAAAAAGAGACATCAGTAACATAAGACACAGATTGAATATATTAGCTGAGCCTACAAAACAATAATGCTTGCCTTAGCTACAACATGTTCAAACAGGGCTTGTAACAGAAATTCAATTATGTATACTTGCACAATGTTACAATGATTAACAACAATTTTCTTTAACAAAACCATAGTTTTGTAGACCATAGTGCTATTTACCACTCAGTTACAGCAGGTGTAGTACAGTGTTTGTGTTATGTGTGATTGTACTATGGGCTTACATAGTAGTTTGGCTGAAATATAGGTCAATTTGTTCACCAAGGTAACAGATCAATATGTAATTAGTGTTGATGGCATAGATGCAATAACAGCCACAAGCACTAAGGATTCCTACTAGATTTGTAACAGGTTAGGATTCTAGTAGCAGGGTAAAATGTAGTAGCCAAACACTAATTCTTATTCATTCGTAGGATATCTCAGTTGAGAGAAAGAGCTGCATGAAAATATTCTGAATTTGAAGGAGTCACTTTCTAGTAGTAACAAAGGTGCAAATATAAAAAATACAAGTCCCTTGGTCTAAATGCGATTAGCGCAAGTGTGACCTGTTATTTTGGCAGTATGTATCCATCATGCATTGTCCATTCTCACTTACCCCAATGTCAAAATATATTACATTTAAATTAACACACATTTTTGAAGCAGGAAAACATTTGACATTTTTCACAGGCAACCGTATTGTTGTGATCCTTTCACATACCTGTGTGCATCATTCATTATTAAAAATAAATAAATATATATAGCTCAATAATTATATGAATTATATGCAAAAGTGGCAGTTAGGCGGTTTGAAAAATCCGTATTACCCTACTAGGTGTGGTTAAAAAGATCAGTTTTTCATTTGAACTTTTTTTTGTTTCAAAAGAAAAAATTTTTTTTCTGTAACTGCCTAAAAAGCTTTAGCAGGAAAGGAAAGTGGATCTTCAGTCTATTTTTAAAGTTTTTGTTGTTGGAATCCTTTCCCCCTCCTATAAAAGTTTTTGGCTTCTCCCACTGTACTTCCTGCTCAGATTGCCTACGTGAATGACATATTGTGTGCTCCCATTGACACCTGGGATATCATAGTCAGAAATCCCCAGGAGTCTTCAGGCAGAACCAGGGGCGGACTGACAACTCATGGGGCCCCCCGGCAATAGGGGATCATGGGGCCCCTGTGTCCTTGCCCAAACTCAAAAAAGCCTATGAAAAAAGGTACCAGGGGCATCTCATGGGGCCCCCTACTGACCCCGGGCCCTCGGGCAGTACCCCAGTTTCCAAATGGTCAGCCTGCCCCTGGGCAGAACTCCTTAGAGTTCCATGCTTGAGAGTGTGGAGGAGAGCAGAGGAGGAGAGGACTTTGAGGCATGTTCAGAGGCTAAGGATTGGTGTTTGAAAGGGCAAAGGATGAGTGAGGAGAAGGGTGTCCATAGGCTGGAGATCTGTGGTTGAAATGGACAGAGGAGGAGGGAGGAGAGGTGTGTCTAGAGGCTGGGAATCTGTGGCTGAGAGGGCAGAGGAGGATCAATACTTGAAAGTGCAACATATGATATGTATATTGATGCAATTTAATTTTGTGAGAATCCCTATTTTGATCTGATTTGTGATAGGCTTTCCTTTAGGATCCAGTGAGTATGGTAGAGCACAGCTAAATGGTAAATGTCTGGGAGAAATATTTATCTGTACTATTGCCTATGCCATGTATGAATGCTAATTCACCCTGCACTGCTATATAGTAGTCTATACTTCTTTTAAAATCCACCTCTAACTGAAGCTGATTCATAACTATCAGTGTTCTTGGTCATACTTACTGCTTTCAAAATCTCTGACTCTGTTCGTATTAATGTGGTGTTTATTTTGCTCTTATTGTCTAACCCAAATTTATGAGCTGATCCTAATCTTTACAACTCTGCCCTCTTGCTCTTTTGTCTCTTGTAGTCCTCCTTTGGTGTGAGAAGTTTGCCCTGCTAGCCATGTGTCTCTGCTGTGCATTCCTAATTGATTAATTGGCAATACCCCCACCCAACTCAGTATAAACTTAGGCCTTCCTTAGGGGAGGCACAGCCAGGGGCAGCACAGCAGGGGTAGCATTGGCAACTATCATCTTGGCTAAATTATTGATCGTTGCTTAAGTATTGAGCATTGCACTTTGGCTCTGCACTTCAGCAAATGCACAAAGCGAGAAACCACAGCAGACAACTTCAAATACTAATCAGACTACAGGCGACCTGTTTCCACATCCAGCTCTTTCAGTTCTTACCCAGACTGCTTCTTCATCTCACCACTCTGTAACATGCGCTCCCTACTCCTCCTTGTCACAGTTGTATCCTCTCTCTTCAAACTCTCTCTCCTTCACCCCTCTTCTCCAGCCCACAGCTTATATATATCACCCTCACTCCTGTCTTCACCTTATTACTGTACTCATCAACTCCTGCTAATTCTGAGCCCACATACTAATAAAACCTCCAGGACACTGGGACCTGTCCCTCCATATAAGACATACTTCCATATTACCTCTCTCACCCTTCTGCTTCTCCTAACATCTGGAGACATTTCCCCAAATCCTGGACAGCCATCTTTTTCCTTTGACCAATACACCCGACACCTACTATCCTCTAACAGAGGCCGCAATCCACACAATCTGGTTACCATTCATCTTCTTCCTAGAACCATCCTCCCCTTTTCCTGTGCCCTTTGGAATGCCCGCTCTGTCTGTAACAAACTTTCCTCTGTCCATGACCTTTTTATCACAAACTCCTTTAACCCGCTTGCAATTACAGAAACCTAGCTTCATGAATCTGACTTTCCTTCTCCTGCTGCCCTCTCCCATGGTGTTCTCCTCTGGACTCACTCTCCCAGGCCTAGTGGACAGAAAGGAGGTGGAGTTGGAATCCTCCTATCCCCACAAAGCACTTTTCAGGTCCTTGATTCACCTCCCTCTCTGTCCCTCTCCTCATTTGAAGTTCACTGTATTAGTCTATTCTCCAGTTTCTTTGAGAATTGCTGTGATCTATCAGCCTCCTGGACCGGTATCAAGCTTCCTTGATGACTTCTCTGTCTGGCTGCCTTACTTTCTCTCTTATGAAATGTAACTGCCTTGATCTTGTATTCTCCTACCTATGCACTCCTTGCAACCTCACCAACTTTCTTTTTCCTCTCTCTGATCACTCCCTTATTAGCTTCTCTCTCGCATTGGTTTCCTCCTTCTTGTCTTCCAACTACCAAACATTACGCGTAGAAACCTACGCTATCTTAACCCCTCTCTCTTCTTTTTCGGCAACAGATTGTCTCTATGACAAAATCTCAGCCCTGTCTTGCCCCAACCTGGCCACTTCTGTCTACAACAGTTCACTGTCATCCACCATGGACACATTGGCCCCCCTCACTACACACAGAGTTAGGACCTGACTGCTACAGTCCTGGCAAACAGACAATACCAGATGCCTCAAAAAACACTGCCATGCCCTGGAGCATTTATGGTGTAAGACTAAGACCCAACAAGAGTTCGACCAATATAAATCCGCCCTTCAAAAATACAACTGCTGTCTCCACACTGCCAAACAGGCTTATTTTATCACTCTCATTACCACCCTCTCATGCAATCCCCGTCAACTCTTTTCTACCTATAAACTCTACTTCGTCCTTCTTTACCTTCCCCCACAAACTCACTCACTGCCCAGGAGATCACTAATCACTTAAAAAATAAGATTGATTGACAATTCGTGATGAGATCTCCACTGTACAGATATCTCCCTCAACCTACACTCCTTGTCCACCTGCACAATCTACTATACACTTCCCTTGTTTAACCCAGCTACTATAGAGGAGGTTGGTAAACTTTTCTCTAAAGCCCACCTAACCATCTGTCCCCTGGACCCTGTTCCCTCGCAAATACTACGGTCACCCTCTGGCTCTATCCTTTACTCTTTAACTCGTATCTTCCACCTCTCCCTTTCTACTGGCATCTTCTCCAACTCTATATAACATGCGCTAGTCACCCCCATACTTAAAAAGCCCTCACTGGACCCCACTAATCTTAGCAAACTAAGACCCATCTCCTTACTCTCTTTTTCCCTCCAAACTCCTTGAATGTCTAGTCTACAACCAGCTGAGCTGCCACCTTATTGAGAATATGAACACAGATGGTCCATGACTACAGACAATATTGCCGTTTATTTCATAATTTTTGTGCATTTTAACTTTAGAACATTGGATTGGATTACATAGGCTATAGTCCATCATGTAGGATGTTAATTTTAAAAATGAATTCAAAAAATGAAATTGAAAATGAAATATTATTGTTGGATAATGTAGAGCTATTATTGTACCAATAATTTTTGCACAATTTCCAATGTATTCCCCACATATTTTGTGTATACTGTAATTTACTAGGGTAAACACAAAGCACTAAATTGAGTGTGTTAGTTGGAAGGTTGTAGTGATAATAGATAAAAAGTTTTTATACATAGATATAAGGATCTCTGAGTGTTCTCTCTATGTCTCTGGGCTGCATGCCTGATCCCAATATCTGATTTAGAAGAGATGAAGCCAGATACAACAAGTCAACTAACATCTCTCCAAGCCAAAGTCAATTTTGGACAAAGGAAAGGATAGAACCTCTGCTTTTTATTGTTCTTGGTGTCCTTGTCAAGAGTGTTTTTGGTGATACCCTATGATACTTTGACACTCCAGGACAGGTAGTTATATGAAACTTCCCTGATGAGGACTTAACCAACAGTAAGTCTGAAAAAGATTTTAATTTTTTTCCACCCCATTTTTCTTTTTGCTGTGTCACTTATGGAGAGATTTTCCCTCACTTTCAGTGACAGTGTGACATAATATAGAAGAAAATCTTCCTATTGGTTACTCAGTGCTAAAAATGAAGATGTTCCAACCCTTTCCTACTCTATCCAAAACTAGAAAGAAAGTTTTGAATAGGTTTGCACCTTAAATATGTCCAGCAGTTGGAAGGTACCCCACTTAAAGTACTGTATATGCCATTGTATTAAAGAATAAATGAATCCAAAACGAGTATTCCAGATTTCTCTGGATGCTCTGTTATCTTCCACTGGAACTCCATTTTTTATGCCTCTCCATTAGGGTTCTTGTTTTTCCATCCATAATGTCCCTAGCATCCCTGAGAAATATAAGGAGCAGGTGAATGGTTAAACCTGCCAACGTTCAGGTAAAATTGATAAATCACTAGTATATTTCATGACTTGATGTTTACTTTAGTAGACACAAGTGCCAATAACCCATCACTATCCAATCCATTCAAGACATGTTGTAAAAATTCTATCCAATCTGCAAAACCACACAGCTTTTATGATAGCGAAATAAAATAAATTACATTCATGAATATAACATTTATACACAAAAAATGTACAAGTCGAGTCCACTGCCGAAGTACAGCGTATGCCCTTCACTAAGCAATTTTCATTTTTTATAGCGTCAGATATTTTGTTTCTCAAGCTGTAAAAATATGAATAAATTTACAGGATGGCAAGCTGATAGGGAGTAAAGACATGCGTGACACAGAGAAATGCTGCTCTCTATACTTAGCTTTCTTCTACAGAGAGAGCAGCCTTTTCTATTAGCTCATTAACACAGCTTAATAGAGTCCTAGCTGCCATTGTGCTCCATATTTAATGACGGAATATATGGCTTCTATAAACAAAGGCAACACTGTCCTCTAGATGTGATCATCTAATGGGAAAATACTTCCCCAAACACTGGAATGTGCACGCACCGAGCCTTGTGATAACTGTACGTCACTATTCAGTTTACACATGAAACATTAACATATAAAATTCCAATAAAATGGAAGCAAAATATTCAGATTCATTACGATATGGTTGATCATGATCATTGCACATTTAACTGAACTTGTAGTTAAAGTTAAACTTCAGTTACAGTAGATCTAAAAAACACCATTCAATCTAGTTTTCTCCTGTATTTGGTAAAAAAGGAATAAATTACTTTTTACATATAATTAGCATGTGCCTGGATCTACTTTCAGATCATGTAATCTTCAGCATAGCAGCTACCAGAGTAAAAGAGTGAGCACAAGCACTAGAAGCCAATCAGGACTCTTTTGCTTTGTCAGTCTAACACTCTGAACATGCCTACAGGAGTTAAGAGAACAGGGATGACCTCAGTATGCCACTGCGTCTTCACTGTCTGCATGGGGAAGGTTCTGGACATGGTATAATTGTTTAAATACAGTTCATTCTGCAGTGAGGTACAGGACCTAGCCATACTGTTTGACAGGTGACCATTCAACAACACCATCTAAACAGAAATAAATCCTATGACAGGTAAAACAGTTCGGTACAGTATACTTGTATGTATTTTAGCTAGGCCCCTTCCACATGGGGCAGACTCTGCAAGGAGCCTGTTTGCTCAGCACGGATGGCTGGTCCATGTCTGCTCCACCTATGCAGAGCAGATACAGACACAGACCACTGTGGCAGGAGGGACCTGTTGCCATGTGTGCTTACAGCAAGGGAGAACTGGTAAGTGTCTGAGTGCTGGGACTAAGCCTACTTTGTGAGAACAGAGCTACTGGTGATTGCATCATGAGGACAGTAGCCTGCCAAATGTTCAGGACAAGTTCTGCTCTGTGCCAGGATTGGTGAGTGGAATCAAATGTGCTTATTGCATCACTGTTATCAGTTTAATGCATGTAGAAACTGCCCTTACTTAGTAGCCCAATGATCATTCACTGTATGCAGTGTAAAGAGAAGGTAACTTATGCAACACCGTACAGATGGGCCCCACCATTAGCTCTCTTGAATTTGATAATTAGGCACCATATACTTTACAGCCATCCCCAGAAGAACCCTGCCTAGGAATACTTATGTATACCCATATCCAGATATATAATCATAGAGTGCACTTTGGGAGACTTTTGACTAGTTATTGCAGAGTAACAGTGAGACTTTTCTTTATGACATTTATACTTCTTATGGTTTATGCTGTTGTTTATAAATGTGGTGTGTACCAGTTTAAACAGTTTTTTTGCCTTACTGTGGCCTAGTTATCTGCCATATTAACTGACCAATATTCACATTATTTAGTTCAACATATTCAAATGTATTCAGTTGCCTGGTTCTTCTTTTGTGCATTGCATTTGCCTGCCTTGCCACAATATATTCACCTTGTTTACAGTCAAGTGGCTTGTGGTTTATTGCATGTATGTTAATATAGCATGTGGTATACCAATACTTAAGTTACAACCAGGTGTGTCAGAGAGTACAAAGCAGATTACAAAGTCATGGCAGATCAAAAAACCCATCATACCAGCGACTTCTTCAGGTAAGCTCTACACTACATATAAAACAAATACTGCGAGCAGGCAGGCTCCTTATTGCAGAAGAGACATACAAAAAAGCCTACCCGCCTGTTTGCAATCTTCTTTAAAGTGTACACAGTGTACATTTACAGCTCACCTCTGCAGTAAAATTAATGCCTGGGGCTGACATCATTACAGTTTGGGGAAATTAAGATGGCAGAAAATCACAAACCCAGAAGAAGGTCAGGTAAAGATGTCAGCTCTGACAAGGGAGCCCTCCCTTAAAATTAATGTTTTATGTGAATCAATAGAGTATGCCAGCATTACGGAATGTCAACATTTCAAGGTAAAAAAAAAAAATCAACATCCAATAAACCTTTGTAAAGACAATTAAACGAGATTATAGATTGGCTGCAGCCCCATGGTCACCTATCTAGAATTAGATTAGAATAACATAAAAATATAAATTATACAGTTTGCCAAATGTATT